TCCAACCACCTTGCTTACCAGCTGCATTCTATCCTCCTGGTTTTCCAGCATTAGAATTCTGCTGCCAGCCTGCTGTATTAACATTAGAGTTTTGTTGCCAACCTCCTCCATTCTTCACAACTTCACCATATCTTCTCTTTGGAACAAAATCAGCAGGATAACCTAAAATTTTGTAACAATTCTCTTTAGTATGTCCCTTCAAATGACAGAATTCACATTGAATGAGTTATTTTCTTCCCCTTCCCCTTCTTGCCTGCATAGCTAGGGGTTGCACCTTATCAGTTATCAGGTTTGCACCAATTGTCTGCTGGCTTTCATCTTGAATAATCATTGCATAGGTCTGGTTGAGAGAAGGAGCAATGGTTTTCATGAGAATTTGCCTCCTTGCTTGATCATACGAATCATTTAATCCAGATAAAAACTGCATAATTGACACGGGGCCGCTTTTCTAGTAACCCGTGAGGACAACAAGATAGCCTGACTACTACTCTTGCTTCAGTCCTAACCAACAAACAAGCATAATGTCATGCTTGAACCAAGGCAATCACATAAACTCAAAGGTTGGAGGGATAACAAAATGAAAGACACACAAAGATGGGAGGCCAAGGCCAATTTTCAGGTTTAATTCATGTACAAAAGAAGAAAAATACAAGTAAAGAGATATGCCCTATAACAAGGCATATACATGTTTATATATACAATGAATGTCCACATGCAGCTAGGTTGGCTGTGGACCCGTCCAGCTGTGGTGCACTGCTTTGTGCTGGCATCATGTGATCTCCATGAATGTCTTGGCAGCCCATGTGCCAATAGTCTTGTCCAGCTATTGTGCCCCAGTTCTTGCTGGCAGATAGTTGCCTCCATATTCGCCCAGACAGGCTGTGGTCCTACCCAGCTGTGCAGCACATGCCCTTGTTGGCAGTGAGTTGCTCCCATGTTCGCCCAGACATGTTGTAGTCCTGCCCAGTTGTGTTGCATGTGACTTTGCTGGCAGAGTGTGGCCTCTATGAGGGCCCGGATAGCCTGGCGGATTGTTTCCCCCATGTGTAAAGACCTTCTGGTCTTTGGTAGCCAAGTTTGGCTCGTTTGGCAACCCTTTAGGCGGCAAATTTGGGCGGAAAATATGCGGGGAGGTACACGCTCCCCCACTTAAAATGGCGACGACCGCGGCGCCACAACGGTTCAAGTAATCGTGAACTTGATCTTTGAACAGCCAGAGCGCCTCATATTTTTCCCACGATGCCTCATCTGGTGGTTGCCCCTTCCAACGGACAAGAAATTGGGCGCTTGAATTTCCCCAACCTACTCATTGTATCACCCGATGGTTGATAATGGCCTCGACTTCCTTGTCGACGACCGGAGGGGTTACGAAAATATTTCGCCGGCTGGATTGCCTCCGCTCCAAATCACCCTTATCTCCACAAGGTGCCTCTGACGGACTGACATGCCTCGACCCAAGAAACTCTTCAGGTTGTTTCCTTGAATCCTCCAACTTTGGAGGTGCCATGTACGGACCCATGGCAGGTGGCTTCGCCCACGGTATGAAGTCCTTATTCCCCTTAAGGACTTGCGGATCACATGGAGTCAAGGTTTTGTCCACCTTGACCTCCTTAGTCTCTGTCCCGATTGCCAAAATCGGTGCTCCCTCTTCCTTAAAGCCTTACACGATTTGAATCGCGGACAACTGACTAACAACTTGTGGCACCCGAACTGTCGGTACCACACATGGACCCTTCGGGTCATAAATGTAGATCTCGTTGAGATATGGGAAGATGAAGGCTCTCATTTCATCCCAATAGTCCAGCCCCAGTACCAGATCAAACACATCTAGGGAAGCGACAAAGAAACTCACGTTTCCCTGCCAAGCTCCTAAGTTGAGCTGCACATTACGGGCAACCCCTTTCACGTTAGTGGGTTTGGCGTTTACCATCTTCAGCACAGAATTGCTAGGACCAAACCTAAGGCCAAGTGACTTAGCCTTTGCTTCGGACACAAAGTTGTGTGTCGCGCCGATGTCTACCATGATACGGACAAATTGTCCGTTCAATTGTGCATCCACGAACAGTGATCCTGGCTCCCTTGATTGGCGCTCCTTGCCAATCACATCGTCGCCTAACGCGTGAACCAGTTTGACGATGCCATGCTTCCCTTGGGCAGCTGGCTTTAAAGCAGGCTTCTTGGCTATTATCGCGCCCAGTATCATGTTGCCAAGATGAGCTATGGCTGGCGGTTGTTGAACTTCTGCTTCGGCATGTTCATCAACTTGGACTCTCTCTTATGTTAGCCTCTACTCGGCCGCAATTAAGGCACCGAGTTTCTTCAAAGGACAATCCTTGTAACCATGACTAGTGTCCTTGCAGATGAAACAACCATTGCGAGGACCGACTTCCTTCCTCCTTTGGTTATACTGGTCACGCCAATTAGACGCCTTGTTGCCTTGTCTGGAATCGCGGTTCGGGGCAGCAACTTGCTTGCCCTTGTCCCGATATCCATGGTCTCCATCCGATTTGAAGTTGGTGTCCCTTGCCTTTGTGGCTTCTGTCCTATAATCATTTAAGGACTCAGCCATCGCGATAACTTCATCGACGTCTTGGACTTGACGTCGTTGCACTTCCTGTTTGGCCCAGTTTTGAAGGCCATCCACAAAAGTGAATAGCAAGTCATCGCTTGCCATGTTCGGAATCTGCAGGATGAGTTTAGTGAAATCCTTCACGTACTCACTTATGGAAGTTGTTTGCCTGAGCTCTCTCAACTTCCTACGTGCCTCATTGACAACATTTTGGGGGTAGAACTGGCGCTTCAGTTCGAACTTGAACTGTTCCCAGCTCTTGATAGAGCAAGTTTCCTTCTCCATGTCGGCTTTCTTCCTCCTCCACCAAAGCATGGCGGTGTCAGCAAGATACATCGTTGATGCCCGGATCTTGGCAGCCTCATCAACGATGCAAAGGTGCTCAAAGTAGTCTTCCATCTTCCAGATGAAGTTCTCTACTTCTTGAGCGTCTCATTTTCCCCTAAACTCCTTCGGTTTTAGGCCCTCGATCATGGTTCCACGCACCGTTACATGTCCAGTGCCACCGGCTAACTTTACTGCCTTCAGTTGTTGCTTTAGGGTCTCAATTTCCCCGTGCAACGCCGATAAAGCCTCGGTCAACTTTAGCTCAAGGTTGGCCAGTCCTTCCCTGTGCTCATCAATCGCTTGATCTAACGTCTCTTTGACTTCCCCTAGTCCGTCTAGGGTAGTAGACTCAAGCGCGTTGAAGTTGTGTTCAACAACTCCCATGTGCCGATTTAAAGCATCTAAACCAGCTTCTGTGAGATCCATTCTCATGCTTAAGAGATTTGAGGTAGAAGCCTAACAATCTTCACCACGGCTAACCTGTTGTGGGGGCAGCATCAAAGCTGGTGCCTCACTTATTAAGGCTATGGCGGGATCTCGTGCTTTGCTCGTTCCTCTCTTCTTTGGTTTCTGCCGTTTTGTTGGTGACTCGTCTCTCCCACGAATGTTGTCTAAGGAAACATTATCTCCATCAGTTGCCATGGTCGATTAACCTCGCTCTGATACCAGTTGTCACGGGGCCGTTTTTCTAGTAACCCGTGAGGATAGCAAGATATCCTGACTACTACTCTTGCTTCAGTCCTAACCAACAAACAAGCACAATGTCGTGCTTGAACCAAGGCAATCACACAAACTCAAAGGTTGGAGAGATAACGAAATGAAAGACACACAAAGATGGGAGGCCAAGGCCAATTTTCGGGTTTAATTCATGTACAAAAGAAGAAAAATACAAGTAAAGAGATCTGCCCTCTAACAAGGCATATACATGTCTATATATACAATGAATGTCCACATGCAGCTAGGTTGGCTGTGGACCCGTCCAGCTGTGGTGCGCTGCTTTGTGCTGGCATCATGTGATCTCCATGAATGTCTTGGCAGCCCATGTGGCAATAGTCTTGTCCAGCTGTTGTGCCCCAGTTCTTGCTGGCAGATAGTTGCCTCCATGTTCGCCCAGACATGTTGTGGTCCTACCCAGATGTGCAGCACATGCCCTTGCTGGCAGTGAGTTGCTCCCATGTTCGCCCAGACAGGCTGTGGTCCTACCCAGTTGTGCTGCATGTGACTTTGTTGGCAGAGTGTGGCATCTATAAGGGCCCGGACAGCCTGGCGGATTGTTGCCCCCATGTGTAAAGACCTTCTGGTCTTTGACAACCAAGTTTGGCTCGTTTGGCAGCCCTTTAGGCGGCAAATTTGGGCGGAAAATATGCGGGGCGGTACAATAACTCTCTGTTGATGCAACTGCTCTACATGATCCTTCGATTTTTCACAACAATTTGGGAATGGAACCAAAACATCATACTCATGCCAAAATTCCTTCAATTTCGAAAAATACACGGACATAGAGCTAGTTCCTTATGCCAAAGTTGTAATTTCACGATGCAATTGAAAAATTCTTACACGATTCACTTTGTTAAACCTTTCGCGTAAATCCTCCCAAACTAGGTGCGCATCTGATGCATACACAACTCCACCTAACAGTTCAAGTGCTACATTGTTCATAATCCATGATAGAACAATGGCGTTACATGTTTCCCACTGTTCCAGTAACTCTCCTTAATATGCATCCCTTTTGCATGTTCCAGTAACAAAACCTAGCTTCTTCTTCCCCAAAAGAGCGATCCGCATCGACCTACTCCATAACCCATAGTTCTCTGAGCCTGTAAGCTTAACAGGAACTACAACTTAGCTAGGTGTGTCGGAAGGACCAACATATAGAGGATGATTGTGATCTATCGACATAGTTTCCGCCATGGATGAATCTACGTCCGACATCGACTATTTTGTCAAATTGCAATCAAACTTCGAGTAATTAAGAAATCAGAAATTGAGAACAGAAATGAGTTCAGAAATTGAAATCAAAAATCGACGTGATGCGATCCAGACATGCCGCTCTGATACCATGTCAAAACTCTGAGAATTGCTTGAGGCGGTTAATGGAGGAAAATTCTAGAACAATGCTCTGTTATTGAGAGAATGGGCAAGCTTGCTCTCCACTACCGTATACAGTCGATATATACTAGAAGAAGAAGAAAGAAGAGCTGAAAAGACTAAAACACCCTTAACTTACTTTTAACAGACTACCTACCTTCTTAACCAATTAACTACTCATGTGACTCTCACATGCTTATATCATAATAGAGCCCCTCCTGTATATTTTGAACTAAAGATAACACAGTCCAGCAACAACTCTAGTGATCTCACATCTCAAAACAAAATAAAATATATACTTGATCATAAGACAGAAAGAAGATTCACAACTATTCTAGAAGGACATGGCATTTCCTAGAACCATTGTTTGCAATGGCCGAAGTCCTGTCTAAGTATAGGCATGCCTTTCCTACAGTGACAGAGGAAGTCCATAAGCAGGTTATTGCGTAGCATGGTTGCTGCAGATGCTCCACAGAGGAAATAAACGCACAGTTGCTCCTTGCTCATTAACATAGCTTTCCTTCGGCGGGCTTTAGCAGGATACTGTTGCAGGACGAAGCAGCAAAATTTTTGGTGTTGATTAAAACCAGAAACTGACTATCTAATCAGTTATTTTTACCATCTTGTTCACAAATAGCTGATCTCTTAAAGTATCGACTATCTTAGCTAAAACAGCACCATTGGCAGCTAGATAATCTTCAGCATCCTGTCTACTGTTTAAAACCTGTCCATCTATGAAGTAGCTCCCTCCTCCTTTCAGAATGACTTCATGTTCACAAGCCAATTCCAAAACCTCAGATTCTATGCAAAAGCCTCCTCCAAACTGTATCCTCAGTTCAGCTTCTGTTGCTGCAGGGGCTAGCTTATTTTTAACCACTTTTACACAGATCCCAAGACCAGTAATCTGGAAAAAAAAAAATTCAAGCCAAGTACTACTCTAGTTAAAAGATAACTAATAGAGTAAGTGACAAAACATCACTTAAACTCATCTCAGACAAGTCCATTGGAAACAAAGGGTATTACAAAACAAAGACAAGCAGGTAAAGAGTTTTCTTTTTAATTTTTTTCCTGGGGTGAATGCAAGGATTAAGGATGGAGACATGACGCCCAGAATGATTCACACTATAGAACAGCAGAGGAGCAGAAGCTCTCTCCAGTTTTGCTAGAGGGAGTGAATAGTACAGTAATAGCAGGTGTACACAATTTAAGAAAAATCATAAGCCAATGTATCTGGATCACAGATTGAGAGGTCTTCCAATCTGAAAGTAATACACACTGTAAATGACTAATAGATCATACTCGCGTCTATTTGATTAGCTCCTAGCCAATGAGCATCTCAAATATCCAAAATGAAGTAGTTTCATATGTTCTCTTAAACAATTAACACACACACATGTCTGGGTCCGATGGCGTAACTTAAAAAATTTTAAGCTTTTTACCCTGATGACTTCAGTTGTTTATTTGATTAATTATGTTTTGTAAAAGAAAATTAAACTGTCAGTAGGGAATAGCATTCTCTCCTTCTCATGCTCATAAAAAAGAGACCGGAATGACATATTCGGAACAATTCATATCATAATTGGCCTACTACAAAATATTTCTGAAGGCACGAACCAATGAGTCAAAAAATGCAATATTTACCTTATCCTTGGTCTTAAGCAATTGTTTTCTAATCGTTCTAAGTCGTACAGCAGCATAAAAAGGCAAAGCATTTCCACCACAAGTTACTTCCTCCATACGCCCTGAGCCTCGAGCTAATCTTTTGTTCGATCTTACCTAAAAAGAGGTCAGATCAGTATGCCAGCTGTAACAGAAAACAGATTGCAAGATATAATGTGTTCTAGTAACCAGAACAAACCTGATTAACGAAAATAATTAGTGTGCTAGAGTTGCATAACGAATAATGAATTTTACGTAGTGCTTGTGTCATTATCTTTGATTGTAAGCCTTTAGGAGAGTCACCTAAAGTAGCATCAAGCTCAAGTTGGGGAACAAGAGCTGCCACCTGTTAAAAGAAAAAAATTTAAAAAATAAAACTAGAAATTTCAATTAGCAGCCTGAGTCTAGGGGATCAATATGATGAAGTAACAGGTTGGGTACATTATAGAAAATACAAGAATGAAAAAGGGAATTGTTGACACATATTGGGAAAATTGGAGCAAATAAATCAGCCTTGAATTATAAAGGGTAGCACTTACACTATCAACCACAATTACATCCATGGATCCACTTTTTGTCAGGGTATCAACAATACTTAGCAGATTCTCAGCAGAATCTGGCTGTGAAATAAGGAGATTTTCTACATTAACCCCTATTGCTTCAGCAAGAGAGGGGTTCATTCCATTTTCGACATCCAGGTATGCACAGTAACCTATCAGTAAAAAGATAATAGGATGAGAGGAAACTAATTTGAAAACTGTTTGAGGAAGGAAAAACTGAAATGGTTGTAAAGATTTCACACTTACCATTCTGGATATCATTATCTCATGCTAAACATTGAAATGTTTCCTTCCAAAAGGTAAATCATCCTTATCGTTGAGAGCAAGAGCCACTTTCTTGTTTACTCTTCATTAATTTCTTCTAAGTAATTAGGTTGGAAACAATATGGATTGCAATATGTATATCTGCAGATCAAAATGCTTAATATCACTACTGTCTAAGGTCGTTTTTTCAATCATTCTGTGGTGCCCCTCGTTTCAAGTGGTATCACTTTTTGTGTCAAACTAGATCAAATAAGATCTAGTTGTTTTCTAATCAAAATTTGAGAACAAGATCACAATAAAAGTAGTCTTTTCTTGAGAGTTCTACGACATAATCATTTTCCAAAAAAAAAAAAAAGACAGTTCTGCGACATACAAAACTCCGAGAACACTCAATCCATTTCTTAGCCAATATAATATGCTCATTTATATAAGCACAAAAAATTTGCTGCCATGACAACTATGCAAAAGAAAAAAGTAAGGATAGTACCCAATTGGAAAAGATAAAGTTTCCATTCATACAATATGAATAAATAATAAGCTAGGAAAACATAATGTGACTAGTAAAAGGTCATTGAATTATTCACCTCCAAGCTTTTGAGCCTCTTTAATTACATGAAGGGCAAGTGTTGTCTTCCCAGATGCTTCTTGTCCATAAATTTCAACAATTCTTCCCTTTAGAAGAAAATTCAAATGAACAGCAAGTGTTAATACCCCGCAATATCCTTGTTACAACAACAATATCTTAGTACTTTGATTTAGAGAAGCAACAGGCACTAAAATCATTATACAGATTACTACAAATTTAAAACACACGAAGAAGTAATTTGATCCAGAGAAGCAACATGCACTGAAATCATTATTTTATAACTAATCATCCCCGGAAACTACTACGGTACTGGAAGAACCCTTCCCCAGAGGAAAAGGAACTATGGTGACAAATGGCACTAGCATCTTCCTATTGTTCAATGACATATATCCATTTGGTGAACCTCACAGCAGAAAAAGAGAATGCACTAGGCACATGACTATCCTCAGACAATTATGCCACTGAAAGCCAATAAAGAACCACTTTTAATTGGATGCTAGCCTTAAACAAGTTGGTTGAGAACAGCAGCTGATTTTTACATCCAATATGGTTATTTTCAAGATAAGTTAAGACAAATATACACTATACTGTCCTAATCCTCTCCGCACAAAAGAAACCAAAGTCTGGCAAAAGAAAATTGCAAACCCTAACAAATAAAATGCTTCAAGAGATCAGACATTCATGGCCCTTTGCACATACAGGAAAACAGAAAATCAGCCATTACTTGTTTGGGATTCAAAATTTAGAGAACAGCACATCAGCACTACATGAAGACCCCATTTATGCAACCGGTATCGGAGACAAAATCCACATTTGGAAATAAGCACATCTAATGTAATCACTTTATATAAAATCACCTTGGGTAGTCCTCCAATCCCAAGTGCTAGATCAAGCCTCAACGAGCCAGTAGGTAAAACAGGTGCACGTCGTCTAGCACCAAAGAAGCGCTGCAAGGACAACATTGATTCTTTGCCAAAATCACCTACAAGCTGCGAGAGGGCCGAATGCAATGCAGTGGCTTTCTCTGATGTTTTGGTATCATCTTGGATATCATCAAATTCACCTTCTGAGATTCAACAAAAAACAAGGTTGGAGTTATCAAGAGACGCCTGAATGCTCGAGGAGCATGATATACGATGAAGGCACAAAAAGATTTCATGCAGTTTAACACCAATAGGTAACAGCAACCTAAAACTGTACTTGGAGACAAGCAATTGGTTTGGCAGCATACAAAAAAGCATTATCTTACATACATTTACTAGTTGAGAACGTAATCTCGTCCTATTTCCTATTTGTCGAGTTTTCTGCCAAATAATTGCTCTTTGATTTGCAAGGGAACCGATATTTTACGGCAATAAGTATTATGTTTCATACTAAATCGAAACATATATAGTAATACCACACTATAATGCAAAACAAATTTTACCAAGTAGAGTTCTTTCTCAAAAAAAAAAAAATACCATGCAGACTTCTGGATAGATGTGCTAGCTGCATAGCTGAGAATGAGTTGCCATGGTAAACAGCTATCAACTAAAAATCAACATGTTCAATATTCTTGGCAGAACAGAATAATTTCTTCTTCCTAATCTCAATATATTAAGGGTTGATGTCTAATCTTTGACTAATCAAGAAACAAGATATTTAGAAACATTTAACTCTATGTGTACTCTCTTTTTTTGCCCCTTTTTAACTCTCGGTGTAACTAACCGATATTATGCACTCTCTTTTTTCCCCTTTCCCAGTCAGTGTTATTCGGATCACATAGAATAACACAAGAAAGCTTCACATGGGGATTATGCATACAATGTCAAGAAGGGACTCAAGGAGAAAACCTGCTACATAATTCTAACCTCGAAACATGGTACAGCAAAATTCAGCCATCGAAAAGTTTGAAAGACTAGATACAAATGGTATGTATAACACAAAAGCACCAGACAATTACAGAACTTGCAACCAAGCATTTTATAATATAATTTTCTAATTGTTCCAAAGTCTTATAATATATCAAATTCAATTTTTGCGTTCGGGAAGGATGAATCGCTCCCGAAAAGGAATCTATTGATTCTCTCCCAATTGGTTGGACCGTAGGTGCGATGATTTACTTCACGGGTGAGGTCTCTGGTTCAAGTACAGGATGGCCCAACTGCGCCAGGGAAAAGAATAGAAGAAGAATCCGACTACTTCATGCACGCTCCACTTGGCTCCGGGAGATATAGCTCAGTTGGTAGAGCTCCGCTCTTGCAATTGGGTCGTTGCGATTACGGGTTGGATGTCTAATTGTCCAGGCGGTAATGATAGTATCTTGTACCTGAACCGGTGGCTCACTTTTTCTAAGTAATGGGGAAGAGGACCGAAACGTGCCACTGAAAGACTCTACTGAGACAAAGATGGGCTGTCAAGAACGTAGAGGAGGNCTAAGTAATAGAGAAGAGGACCGAAACGTACCCATGAAAGACTCTACTGGGACAAAGATGGGCTGTCAAGAACGTATAGAAGGTTACCCCCCTCCCCCAAAAAAAATATATTTGAACTTTTTATGTTAATTAAAAATGAGTTGAACTTTAGAATCATACAAATAAAACTAAACAAGAAAAGATGGTTTTTATCACCTGCCCAAGATGCATCAGTGCTCAACATCCTTGTCCAAGCAATTCCATTCTGATAAATAATTAAGCCCCAAAAAAGACACATAATAAGCAGAAAACTTATAACAAAAAGCAAAAATAATACGAACAAGATAAAAACTATACTTATGACTGAATTCTAAGTTCAAACTAACAAATATCCATATTTTTAATTGTGTATACGTAAAGAGAGAATAAAATTACCTGGGGTTTGTAGGGGGAAATGGAAAGGCGGCGAATGGAGGAGGGAATGAAACGGAGAAATTGAAGTGAATGAGGCACCATGGTTTGATCAGTAGAGCATTTGTGCCGCTTCTAGCTTGGAGGTTTAGCAGCTGCAGTGCTCTTAAGTCCCGCCATGAATTCGCCGTTATATTTCTCTTCTTATTCTCCATCTATTTTAGGAACGAAAAAGGGGCAACCTTTTTTTTTTTTTTTTTTTTTGACATAGATGATCCCTTATGTTTGGATTAAATTTAAAATAATCACTTACATATATCATACGCAATTTTAATTTTTTAAGTTTGTCAAAGAGCATTTTTTTGTCTTTGTTAAAATTTAATAAATTCTGACTTTAATTTAACAAAAACCGTAGAAAGAAAGACTTAACAAAAAATAATGACTACATCTCGAAAAGTTGTGCATACATCAAAAATAGACCAAAAACAACAGAAATATCTAAAATGGCAAAGGGTCAAAAATACCTTTCACTATTCGAAAATGTTCATTTATACCTTCCATTATATATTGGTCTACTACAGCCCCGACGATCATAGAATTGATGCAAAAATATTCCTCCATCGTTACGACCCTCCACCATGCCAATATTATCCAATGTGACCTGACATATTGCCTAGCTGGTCTGCCACCTCATCATATCTATATCCAAGTTTATCCTTCCCCTATTTTTTCCACCACCACCTCCCTCGTTTACCCAACTACCACCAACATCACCTTCTCATTTACCACGCACCTATTCTTCCACCACTATCCAATCACTAATCTTGACACCATTAAATCACCATGCTTTCACCGAAAATCAAACTGAAACGAAAATTTTGATTTTTGGGTTTCATTTTTCAATTTGATTTCAGATTTTTGTAATGATACCAAGTTTCTTAATACATCCACAGTAACATAAACATTCGATCTTTACTAGTACATATAATAAGCAAAGAGCTTCTGAACAATAGTTAATTAGGCTTAGAGATAGAAATAATCAAAGAGTATTACTAATTCTACACTAGTTACCATATCATTAGATTTTTCATTGAGATTAGGCATTTGTTTTTTTTGTTGAAGTATCCAAATTTTAAAGAGTTTATCTCCCGTATCGCATATGTTCACACGAGAATGACAGCAAATTGGAGGGCAAAGCAGAAATTTCCCCGAGCTAAAACCCAATTATAGTCGACCTTTTCCTACTTAAGTTTTATTTTGGCGAGGCTTTTTTAGAGACCGAGGAGCTTTAGCTGCCTCATCCTGTTGATTCCCTGTTTTCTGCTTCTTATCAATGTAAAGATCCTCAGTGTTCTGCTTCTCCATCTCCATCGCCGTGTTCAATTTGATTTCAAATGATTTGTTGGAAAAGTACAGTTCATAAAAAAGCAAGATTTCGATTCAGTTTAATTTTTTGCGAAAGAATGGTGATCTGATGGTGTCAAGACTTGGGGTGAAAGAATAGGTGCGTGGTAAAGGAGTTGGCGGTGGTTGGGTAAAGAGGGATGTGGTGTGGAAGAAGAAGAAGTAGGGGAAAGGTAAAATGAGATAGATGCAATGAGGTGGCATGCCACATGGCATCCACCTCAGCAATATATCAGGTCACATGGGATAATATTGACGTGGTGGAGGGTCTTAACGACGAAAGGGTATTTTTGTACCAATTCTATGACGTCGGGACTATAGTGGACCAATAGTATAACGGGGGTCTAAATGAATATTTTCGAATAGTACAGGGATGTTTTTTTACCCTTTTCCGTATCTAAAACAATAACTTCTAATGTAAGTTATAGTTAAAAGGTTTATTTGTTATCAATTTCATTAAATCAAACAACCACTTAAATTTAGCATGATTATGTGATGAAGTGTTAAAAAAAAATTAATTAATCAAGATTAAATGATAAAAAATATTTAAAAGAATATGTGTCACATATTATTATTAGTTATTAGTCTCTTTCTCTCTCTCTCTCTCT